CAAAGTTTCATGTTGATACCTCTTATACTTTTAGAGTTATGTCCCGGACAAATTTCAAAGTGTAAAATAAACAAGGGGGATAATTCAAAAAATATGGCAAGGCAGAGTTACAGTTCTTGTGCACTGCACACCTTCTCAATGAGATCTATCTACCTACAAAGTTTCATGTTGATACCTCTTATACTTTTAGAGTTATGTCCCGGACAAAGTTCAAAGTGTAAAATAAACAAAGGGGGATAATTCAAAAATTAGGCAAGGCAGAGTTATGGTTCTTGTGCACTGTACACCTATTCAATGAGATCTATCTACCTACAAAGTTTCATGTTGATACCTCTTATACTTTTAGAGTTATGTCTCGGACAAATTTCAAAGTGTAAAATAAACAAAGGGGGGTAATTCAAAAATTAGGCAAGGCAGAGTTACAGTTCTTGTGCACTGCACACCTACTCAATGAGATCTATCTACCTACAAAGTTTCATGTTGATACCTCTTATACTTTTTAGAGTTATGTCCGGACAAAGTTCAAAGTATAAAAAATACAAAGGGGGATAATTCAAAAGTTAGGCAAGGCAGAGTTACGGTTCTTGTGCACTGCACACCTACTCAATGAGATCTATCTACCTACAAAAGTTTCATGTTGATACTTCTTATACTTTTAGAGTTATGTCCCGGACAAAGTTCAAAGTGTAATAAACAGGATTTTCAATGTTAATGTCACTGTGACCTTGACCTTTGAGCCAGCCATGCGGAACATGCGTTCTGCACGTCATCTTGATGTGGTAAACATTTGTCTGAAGTTTCATCAAAAATTCTTCAAAGGGTTGAAGAGTTACAGAGCGGACAGGATTTTCAATGTAAATGTCACTGTGACCTTGACCTTGGAGCCAGCCATGCGGAACATGCGTTCTGCACGTCATCTTGATGTGGTAAACATTTGTCTGAAGTTTCATCAAAATTCTTCAAAGGGTTGAAGAGTTACAGAGCGGACACAATTTCGTTTGACGCCCGCCCATCCGCCCATCCGCCCAGCCGCCCATCCGCCCATCCGCCCATCCGCCCGCCATACCCCAATCTAATAACCAGGATTTTCAAAATTGAAAACCTGGTTAATAAAGAAATACTATAAAATGATAAATATGTCGACCTAAAAGACTACTTATAAAACTAGTAAGTTAACTGTTTATCATTAAAATCCAGGAGAAAGTCGTCCTAATTCGATTGACACCCCACCCCCACCCCCTCCCCCTTTTCCACAACTGCCTACACATCCATTATTGCCGCGATGAAAAGTGTCCCGGAAAGCTGTCCAAAAATTATGGCATGTATGACTTCATACTTCAGACAAATGCTGACTGTACTTAAAATAGCCTCGGTTCCTTAAGCTATAACTAGCATGAACCTGCTTTCTTCATGTAATTGTCAACTTCTCCACATGGAGAAGAACAAAATGGCACAATTAGACATTCTGTCTCAAAACAAAAGGTGGGGCATCCATGGCCAAGTGGTTAAGGTTGTTGACTTCAAACGACTTGCCCCTCACCGCTGTGGGTTCGAATCCTGACAGGGACTTTGGATTCTTTCATGTGAGGAAGCTATCCAGCTAGCTTACGGAACGTCTGTGGTTCTACACAGGTGTCCGTTCGTGCCTGAAATTATGCACGGAAAGGCACCTGAGGTCTTCCTCCACCAGTAAAGCTGGAATGTCGCAATATGACCTTTACTGTGTCGATGTGACGTAAAACCAAAAACAAACAAAAGGTTAATATTAAGTTACCAATCCATTGTATGACTACCTATATTCTACTGGCTAAACCAACAAACAACTACATGTTTATGCTTTGCTTAAATGACAACATAACATCAAAGCAGGTGATAATAATATGCCTAATGCCCTGAACAGAAGTCAATATGGTAATAAATGCTATAAAAATTTACCATATTACAAAGTAAAATGGGTATGCTTTTTACTTAAGTCAAGAGTATAGTCTTAGAAGATAAGGGTTTGTCATACTTGAACTATAAAATGTTGTAACTGTGAGATGAGTAAGTCATTAAAACAATCATTCAATATCAGGGAATGAAAATAAATGTGAAAGAAAGAGAAATTAAAAAGAATGATAAGAAACAGATGCAATAATAAAGTACATTTAAAAGAATATATAATAATCATTGTCAAGACAATTTTTTTTACATATTGATTCAAACTGAATACCTACCATATAATAAGATTATTAAACTTATAATGCAATATTTAATTCAACTTCTTTTTATTTATATACTATTACTTGTAACTCAAGAAAATTGAAACACTGCCAAGATAGGACTATAAAACTTCAAATTCTGCCAGAAATTGGTTTTACTTCTATGATTAAAAAGAAAAAAAGATTTTGATTTTTAAAATTTGATTACCTTTAAACAATAAAGATAACATTCACATATCTAAATTTTAGTCAGAACTCCTATTTTACAATAGAATAAAGAATATTTTTTTTTTTTGATTTACAGCAAGTATACTAGGAAAGGTCTACATTATCTCAACAATCTATTTTTAGAACATATTTTGTACAACTAATAGGTGACGACAACAAGAAAGAGGGGAGACAACCTGGGGGAAACATGCGGTACCTTGCGTTGCATACACCGTGCCAAGATCCATCTTATAAACACCAAGAGGTTTGTTTGAGCGGAGGAGGCGTCCGGACTGACATACCTACACATGTTGCACGTGCAAAGGATGCAAAAGTAGAGAGAGACAAAAGATAGATCGCGATTAAATTTTTTTTTTAAACTATAAAAATCAAATCTATGAAAAAAGTTTTGAAAAATTTCCATCTAGAATGCATTCCATGGTTCAAAAAGGGTTTAATTATATATATATATATATGAAGGATGACAAATTAGAAAACTTGTATAATTTAATACAGTGGGCATCAAAAAGAGGCCCGTAAATCAATTCAAACTAATATTGTGTTTTCTTGAGATCTATAAATTATTATTGTCATCAGTTAAACCCTTTTTGATCATAACTATCGAGAAAAAAAAATTCAAATATGATAAAAATGTTGACAAATGTAATTATTTAAAAAAAAAAGGGTTATTAAAATGAAAAATGAGGTCTGAAATATAAAAATCACAATTAGTAAGTAAATTAAATACACCAGGGAATAGCAAATCAAGTCTTAATTCTATAATTCTTAACTCATACAGTACAAAAAGGCATTACTTTCAGACCTGCCACATTAGTAGAAACTTAGGCCAGCTTGCTTATCTGCACACTTGGACTGGACTACTGGCTACTATATTTTAAAATTTTGCTCAGAAATCTATGAAATTAAAATTAAATAGTTCAAATTTCAGAAATAACACAAATGGTTTAAACCAAATCAATATTTTTTTTCTAATATACCAAAGGTTTCATGAAATATTTAAAATCATTACAAAATTATCATTTTTGTTTTTTATTATTCTCATTTTTGTTTCATTTTCAAAGAAAAGAAATCAATTTCTTCATCCTTTAATTCATCTTTCTAATTTAGGAAAACTGAAGTAAAAGAAACTGAACATTTTTAATACCGGTACTGCCCAAAATTGTTCTCAAAAATATTATAAAGTTACATCAGACTTGCTTTGCCTCTATTCTCAAATATATCCATTACCGCGAGAGCTCTTACAAAATCTTATGCATATTATTTCACTATAAATAAAACTTTTAATTTGAAATATAACTTCTCTTACTGTAATTGGAACATAAATATTTTCGATATTTCCATAACTCTTGAAAATAATTACCTATTAAGGTTCTATAATCATATCTTTACTTTCATCGTTTGCAAAAACATTTAGCTTGGTTTTTGACATTTTATTGATTCGATAGATAGCAGCCAAAATACCGAATATCTAAATTAATGCAAAAAATTTCATATTGCAATAGCCCGAGTTCGCTTTTCTCATTGCTGGATAGTGTGACAAAAGCAAAGTAATAAAGGGGGCATAATTCTGCTACAAAGTGCTTTACAAAATTACAAGCACTTGATAGTAAACAAATATTTCAAGTTTCACAAGAATATCTGTGATTGTTTTTGAAAAAATATGAAACAGTTTAAGTAAAAAAAAAGGGAGATAATAAAGCAAATATGGCTTCCAGGATTATCTGCTTCTTAGAAATGCATTCTAACTTTGATAGTGGACAAGTTGAAAGCAAATTTCTATGACAGCTTTTGAGAAATAAACCATAATGTTTTCACAAAGAAATTTCAAAACAAACTGACAAAACTGAGCAAAAAAATGGAAAAACAAGGTGTCATCTGGACATTTGAAATTTGATCCATTTTTGAGAGTGAACTCTGAAGTGAATATCTTTGACAGTAAATGTTTTGAGAAATTAACCTTAACAAAAAGGTTAATCATGACCAAAAAAAAAATGAAAATAAAAAAATAAAATTCAGTCAAAAAGGAGCATTAATTCAGTATTTTTTAAGGATTATCTGTCCTTAAGATATGTTGTCATATTTTGACAATGAATGAGTTTAAAGTGTATAGCTTTGTGTATACATGAGGAAATGGAGCAACAAAAAGGTTAACCAACACTGACACTATAATGCAAAAGCCAATGGTGACAAGAAAGTCTAGTCAATAGCTCCATTCTACTTTTTTTCTAGAAAAAAAAATGGAGCCATTTTTTTCTCGAAAGAAATGGATATAAAAGAAAATAAATGGACCTAACAATGTCACTGTTTTTCACTTAATGTCATAAATCCATAACCTTATGTCAAAAAAATGTAATTGCACACTCTAATGATATAAAGAAAATCCATATATCCATTTACAAATCAAAAATTAAATATCTTATCAAATATATGTGAAAAAATTACACATATACACATGCTTTGATTATCATAATGCAATAGGACAATGTAAGGGCTCTCTGTTAATCAAGCACATTATGAAAAATAAGCAAAGCCATGTTAGTATAAAACGTCAAATTTCGTGCATCTTAGTACCCATCTTAGAATAAACAGTTCCCACATCAAATTTGAAGCAACCAATCTTCTTGCCCGAACTGAGAAAATTTCGGGAATGCATAGCCTATAGGAAAAGGGAAAATCATGCATGGTATATATTCGCGCTCCTTTTGAATCTATGGAAATCTTACTCAATATCATACAATTGTAATTGTAAATTAAAACTTGCAATCCCCCTTTCTTCTAATGTCAAAACAATGAAATTTGCATGTGAACAATATACCATTATTTGGTCATATAACATGCTTGCATGTAACATGCTTGTACATTTCCCAGAAACACATCTAAATGGTAGAAAACTACGTCATGGCGCACCTGCAAAATCCTCCCCATTAGACTGTTATTTTTTTGTAAACATCTCCTAGACTCAAGGTAAAATGTGCGTTTATTCTAAGAAATCATTAGAATATCAAATAATAATGTAGAGCTACAAAGATAGGCTTTAGTACTTGATATAACTTTTAAAAACATTAAAAGTGTTACTGCCCAGTTTAGTCCTGAAAACGGACAAAGTTTTTTCCCCTAAATGCTCTTACTTTTTTTACAAATTTAAGATGATATCAAGTATTTAAGCAAATACATTTTTTTTTTTTTTTGATATTCCAACGATTGATTAGAGTAAAAAAAAAATCTAGAGTCGCCAAAAAAGTATTCCCATTGTGAGCATTTTGCATATGACTGATGACGTAGTATCCTACCATTTTATCTGTGACACAGCTGATGACTATAGACAATTTAAATTTGCTCACAGACAAAGGGTAATAAAATGTTGAAATATTTTCTAGAAACAATTCAGACAATCATTATAAAATTCTTGAAATGCTACAGTTCCTCCTGTCTATGACTTGATCAAAATGTAGCAAAACAAATTTCTTTTTCCTTTCTTTTTTTCTTCTTTTTTTTCGATGACATTTATTGTATTTCATAGAACAAATTTGATATATGGCTTGGCTAAATGAACACAATTATTCTTCAAATTTCAGTAAGACCAAATCAAGCTCTTTGTTTTGTTTTCTCAGAAATTGGTGATTTTAATAGTTTAATTTTAAAACAATTTTCTCAATAATCTATCTGTATGTAAAATACATTATTTTTGTCTATAAAAGCACTGTTAAAATATGATGTATGATGAAGTACATTTTCATGCTTTTTCAATGAACATGTTTTATTCATCAGATTTATTTCTAAGGAAATTGTAAATCAAACTGGTGAGAAATTATTCTTGTTTGATTTCTTATGCACAGGAATAACTTCACACTTCAAACTTCTTCAAATAGATAATCACACTTTTCTTCAATCTCTATTACATGTGTGAAACTTCAATTACATAAATCAAATTTCAACAGCACAATCCTCAAAATATGCAGACGGTATTGTTTAAATTTTTTATGAAGACTGATTGTTGGCTATTTTTAGTAATAATTTCAAACTTACCGTTAGTGTGATGATTTTGTCAAATAACATTGCTGGTGCCATGTGGAAGTCAAATACAAAGTACTGTAATAGTAAAGTGTTCATTATCCCAATTTTCAGAAATGAACAAATAATGTCAATAGATTTTCACTTTTTAATTTGACTTTTGGCTATGATACCTTGACTTTTTGGCCAAAGGACCTGAACTTTGCACACAACACTGTGCTTAACAATGTTGAACATTTGTGCCAAGTTATATGACAATCCTTAAATGCATGAAGAAGTTTCACTTTGGCATTGGACAGGTGTTTTCTCTGACCCTAAGGTGTCACACTTGACCTCCGACAGAGTTTTGGCTCATATATGCAACACTTAGTGTCATGATAGGGAACATTTTGTGTCAAGTTTTACTAATATCGTTATTACTATGCATGTAGAAGAAAGGCCCCAGAAAATATCTAGACACTTTATAATATCTGGTGACCTTGACCTTCTATATATTGACTTGGATTATGCTGTGTAACACTAAGTTTCATAATGGTGGACATTTGTGATATAACCCTTTAATTCAAACAATTGAATTTTTCATACACACACATTTTTAACTGACTTTTGACCTGTGTGTGTGAGCTTGACCTTAGCCACAGGGACCAAATTTGTGTGTGATACTCAGTCTCATAATGTTGAACATTAGTGCCATGTTATTTTAAAACCTCTCATTGCAATGGAAGTTTTGCTCTAGACAAGCATTTTCCTCCTTCCTCAGTTTGTCCTTGACCTTTGACCTAGAGACATGCAACTTTAAATCTCATGTAGGTGAAAATTTGTATCATTCCTTTATTGCTCTCCAGATAAAACTAGATGCCACCTGCCTGTCAACCAGGGGCATATCTATAATACAACCCATTTTTTAAACAAGTGTAAATAAAACATAAGATGTAAACTCTTAATAAACTTTTCTTTATTGAAGCAGCAAGCTTCTTTTGATTGCATAAACTCGATGTTTAATTAGACAATTTTTTAATCTTTATTATTTCATATCAGTAAGTTCTTAAAATTTCCATTACCTCATTATAATACGGACAATTAGTTGACTCCTTCACACTTGTGTATTTCTTTTGATCTCCAACTTGTACACATACCACAGGATCCATGTTCAATCCTGCAAGCTGCCGTGCTTCTATCACTGTGATACACACCTGAAAGTCCTGTGCCTTCAATGCCACAGACTCTACGCTTTGAGATTTGGCTTTTCTGTATGGAAATGAATAGATATGTTTTATACATATAAGAAAATATACTTTCCATACAAAATGTTCTTTATTATGGCACTCAAGTGAAATAAGATGTATGTTTGTATATAAATTACTAGTAACTATTGCTCATACCATAAAATTGGTTTGTTTGTTTGAATTATGGCTCACAAACACAATTTAGGTCATAATGGCGCTGAAACAGAAAATTTTAACAAACCTCGGGTGTTACAGACTTAAAGCACCACTAGGGGTCAAAACCACCTCACCTGCTGGAGCTAAGAGATGCATAGACTCCAGTTGTATGAACCCATTTAATCGCCTCTTACAATCACACAGGGATAAACAGTGGCCTCAAGTTTTGATGCCTCAGCAACCCCTCAGCCACAAGGGGATAAAGTTAGGAGCACTAATGACTCATTTAACTCTGTTCATGTGAGAAAGCTATCCAATGTTGGCAGTTATACTCCGGTGCTCGTTTGAGCCTGAAATAATGTATAGAGGGGCACCTGAGGTCTTTTCTCCACCAGTAAAGCTGTAAAGTCTCAATATATTTATATACTCTTTACATCTGAAAAAACTGTAACTCATTTTACACCCTTATCAAATTAAGTATATCATCATTTTGTCATTATGACTTAGTTACAGATATCATTATTTTGTTATAATAACTAAATAGGTACATATATCATTATTTTGTTATTTTAACTTAGTAACAGATATGGAAATAATCATTTTGTTGTTATAACTTAATTACTTATATCATCATTTTGATATTATTTCTTAGTTATGGATATCATCATTTTATTATTATTACTTAGTTATGTGTATCATCATCCAACAATCAAGCCTTTGGAATTATAATGGTTTCCATGAAGCTGACAAAAATGTACCAGATATACAGATATTTTGGAATTATTTTGTATTTCATCCTAGGTTTTGATTGACATGACTTGGATTCAGTAAATCACAATAATCTAAGAAAACAAAACATTGGTGGCCACTAAATGACAGGAGATTGTTGATGGTCTATATCTTTAATGGTTATATTAACCCATATGTTCATTTCACCCTGAAATCTGAGGCATCTGGCAAGCTGAATATTACATTTCTATCAAATCTTCTAGAATTACAAGTATTACAATTGGATACAGTTACCATAGAAATACAAAGGGGAAAAAATAAAAGGCAAGTGTATGAAGACAGGGAAATGATGGCATTATGGTTAAGGGTTTGCCTCTATACCCTGACATTGTAGGTAATGTGCATTAACAATGGAATTTTGGGTAATTCGTTTCTTTACAATATTTTGTCTCTTATTCCTGGAATTGTAGGTTCAGCAACTTGTAATAATTGAAAATCCTTGTATCATGAATAATATTCCTCTTAAAATTGCAATTGTGGGTAATGTTCATGTTATGTACATTTATTACATTAACATTGGAACTTTCAGAATCTTGCATCTTAACATTGGAATTGTGGGTAATGTGCCTCTTAAGATGGGAATTTAGGGTAATGTGCATCATGGAATTGTGGGTAATGTGCCTCTTAAGATGGGAATTTAGGGTAATGTGCATCGTGGAATTGTGGGTAATGTGCCTCTTAATATGGGAATTTTGGTAATGTGCATCGTGGAATTGCGGGTAATGTGCCTCTTAAGATGGGAGTTTAGGGTAATGTGCATCATGGAATTGTGGATAATGTGCCTCTTTTGATGGGAATTTAGGGTAATGTGCATCAAGGAATTGTGGGTAATGTGCCTCTTTTGATGGGAATTTAGGGTAATGTGCATCATGGAATTGTGGGTAATGTGCCTCTTTTGATGGGAATTTAGGGTAATGTGCATCATGGAATTGTGGGTAATGTGCCTCTTTTGATGGGAATTTAGGGTAATGTGCATCAAGGAATTGTGGGTAATGTGCCTCTTTTGATGGGAATTTAGGGTAATGTGCATCAAGGAATTGTGGGTAATGTGCCTCTTTTGATGGGAATTTAGGGTAATGTGCATCAAGGAATTGTGGGTAATGTGCCTCTTTTGATGGGACTTTAGGGTAATGTGCATCAAGGAATTGTGGGTAATGTGCCTCTTTTGATGGGAATTTAGGGTAATGCGCATCAAGGAATTGTGGGTAATGTGCCTCTTAACACTTAAATTTAGGGTCAGATAGCTTCTGTACATGAAAATCCCTGACAGAATTCAAACCTACAGGTATGAGACTAAGTGGTTTAAAGTTGGAAACCTTAACCACTAAGCAAAAGGATGTCGTAAACTTTATTAATTTCTGTTGAAACATGGTTTAAAAATAACTGCAGTATATTTTGTTCATGAACATTTTATTTAGATTGCTTATATAATTAGTGTTCAATTTTTTTAACTTTACACCATTAGAGTGTTTCCAAATAAACAAATTTTCCACACAAAATCAGGTTTCAAATCCTGGAACTTACAGGACACATAGCAGACAACTTAATAACATTTAAAATGAGAAGAAAAAAAATCAATTTTTAAATTATAGGAATTTTAGTGACTTGTCGCATTTAAAATGCTATGAACGGCACACTGATTGCAGACACTTGAAGGACAATGAATAGTTTAACCGTATTACCGGATAACAGCGAGACACCAAAACTTGATGCACTGAAGTATAATTGGATTAGGTAAGCCTTTGCAATAGTTTTAAACTTTCATGATCAATATCTGTGCCTGAAAATTGAGATTTAAACATAAAGTATCTCTTCTAAATGTCAGACATTCTATGGAATAGAGTTTCCCTTTTTTCTGCTGAATAATGGAGATCTAATTTCATTCAATGAAAAGAGGAAAATGTTTTCTATTATAAGCAATCTAGCTTATTCGATTTCATTAATATCAAATATCATATATATTTATTATTTCATAATTTTCAATTATTCTTTTCCCAGCAGCATTGTCTATAATGGGCTTTAGAATATGGCATGTTTGCATAAAAAAATGCTCAAAAAATGCTTAGATTAACAATAATAGTATTAAGTGTGATTTTTTTTTTTTCTTTTTGAAAATTATTATTCATTCTGTAATGAACTTAGTTACAAATTTAAACTTGATTTAACTGATTATCAGTGTCATGTGACTAATTCTGAGTTTGCCACCAAGGGCAAAAAAAGTCATGATTATTATCGACCAGCTGAACAAAATTAATGTGTAAAAATATGTATAAAGAGGTCAAATGTAAACAGACAAGATTTTCTGTATGTGAGCGTTAATTTAACTAAGATTAAATAATTTTAAGCATGATGAGTGGTTTTTTTATAGTTCAATATAGATATTGACAAAATTTGAGAATTTTCAACAAAGATTTTGCCACAAACCTTTTAATTCCGCTGTTTGCCATGATGGATGAGGTCTCACTGGCCTGGTCATAGTCCATCTCTTTCTCACCTGCCACCCTGGACAACATGGAGGCAACCTCAGCTGCCTTCGCATCCAAACTGGCATCTAGGTAAAATATATTAATTAACCTTGATATGAATTCAGTATGATTAAATCTTGATATCAGTTCAGTACCATTAAACCTTGATATCAATTCAGTATGGTTATACATTGATATGAATTTAGTATGGTTAAACCTTGATGTTAATTCAGAATGATTAAACCTTGATATCAATGCAGTATCATTTAACCTTGATATCAATTTAGTATGATTAAACCATGATATCAATTCAGTAAAATACTGTACAATCTAAATAACAAATGATAAACTCACTCCCAACCTTCTCACAAGCAGTTTAAGTTAAGTTTTACTTTTGTCAGGACACCATCAGGTTCCAAAATGATAAAACTGTTATTTTTCGAAAGCTTTTCAATTTTTGTTGACCTATTACAGTTTCTAAAAAGATTCTCATTGGCAGTCTTGCTTTTTGCCAATGAATAGTGATTTAGTATTTCATATGGAAGTCCAAATACAACTTTTATTTATGTTTTGCTTCTTTAATAATTACTATTTATTTCACATTCAGCACAACTTATTTCAAGTAATAAAATTCTCATATGCTTTAAATTCATTTTAAAACATTTAAAAAACATATTTTGCCCTGCAAAAGGAGAATAAATTGTATTCATTTTTATGGCTTAATGTACCTTTGAAATCTTTCTCTTTTCAATTTTTTTAAGCTTACTACAAAGTGAGAATAAGAAGTCATTTTAAGGTCATAATTATATAGATGAGTGGGAGGACAATCATCCAATGTTTTTAATCCAATAATTTACTCAGCCATCTTCCAATTAAGGCATATCTTTGGTTGTAAAGTACAGTTGATAAGTTCATCGAGCCACAAATAACCAAATTAATTAGCTGAAATACCCTCTTGCATGGATTCTGTCAAATGCCAATATGTGGTTTATTACCTGCAATAAGTCTTTACTTAACTTTCTATCAATAATACAAGGCAGTATATCCTTATCTTGACAATACAAATGGCCGACAAATCTTGTTTAAACTAAAGCTTAATTAATCAGAGGTTTCTCATCAGGATCGGCCAGGAATTAAACACATAGTCTAGACTGTTCATTGAGACTTCATGTGTGACAAAGTGCACGTCTCTGACAAGTTACAAGTGTCTAATTACACGGAAATGAGACAAATAGTGTGCCGTCGGCTTGTCCCTAATGTCACTGCATAATGAAATCACGATACAGAAAAAAGGTCCGTGAATTATGCGTTTTTTTTTTTACTTCAATCGTTGAATGACCGACCTCTAGGGTAAGAAATGACAAGATGTATAGCAAGTCGTACCTGATTCCATCTCATCAATGAGTGTTTGTTTATCATCCCTGTCTTCCATCCCTGAGGCTCGTTGTTTGGCTAACATAAATTTCATGACAGTTCCGAGCTGCCTCATTCTGAAAACATCGATGATATATTTATCACATTAGAGCAACTTTCAGAAACTGCAAAACATAACACTCAAAAATAAAACAATTATCCCACCAAGAGAGAAACTGGGCCAGTCTGCACATTTGTGAAGTATTACCACTCTATACAAATGGCATCTCAGCTGCAGTATTTTCATATCAAATCTCTTTAAACTTAAAATTCATTGCAGTACAAGATTAGTACATTTCACAGAATTAGAGGGTATTCATTAAATTATTAAAACATACGTTTTCGGTGATTTTCCTCCTGAGGTTTTGGATGAAATACTGAGACGTGATCCGAGCAAAGATTTACTATTGCTCGAGTGGAGGGATTCCCGATCTTCATCGCCATCGATTACGTCACCTGCACTATCCTCTGCCCCTTCCTTCATACTACTGTGAATAGACTGACGATCTATATTTAGCTGATTCTGTTCCTCCTCGGTGAGGATCCCGCGTAGTTCTTCATTCTTGATAGGTTCAAATCCTCCCCTCTGCCACATCCCAACCGAACCATCCGGAGCATTGTATGTAAGTTCGAATGTCAAACTTGTCTGTGAATGAAATGAAATACAGAAAATCCTAACTTCAAGTTTATCCAAAGATTTAAAAAGACTGAAGTTTACAGGCAGAGTATCAAAAAGATGGTACCTCAGAATTTAATTTTATTTCATTTTTTTTTCTATGGTTTTGAATTCTAAGCAACATTTTAGCAGTATATAACTATCATATATCATTAGGACATATCCTGACCACTCTGAAAATACTTTTCCCAATTGAATAACAGTCAACTTCTTCACAAATCAATTTTCATAGCTTTAGTCAAACCATAGGTATAGAACCAAATTCTTATTCTTCCTTATTTGGCACCATTCCCATGTTATCAATTTCAAACCAATTTCTTTAGTTAAGGAAAGGAAAATATGCTACATTCCAAATGTTAAGACTTACAAGAAACAGGTTTAAAACAACCTTTTCAAAGTTTAAAAAAAAATATTCCTTTTAGGCAAAACCTCTTTCTTTGCTAGATTTGAAGCCACAATCCTGAGAGACCCTTTTTGCCTATGAAGGTCACACTAACTTATCACTGGAAACTAATGTACAGCTATCAAGTGTGGACTGATGTTCCAGCCTCTGTCAAATTGTATATACATGTACAGTTCCAGCAGGCTGGTTATTTTGAAAAAGAAAATTTCAAGAGCCTTGGAGTGAAACAGTTGAACAGTTGTAACAGTTGTATCAGTTTTAACACCTTAATTTATGTTGTAAGAGATAAAACTCTTTTGTACCCTGCCCTTGAAACTTTTCAACGCTTTTGTTGCAGTTGCAACAAAACTTGTGCATAAATTTGGATTATTCACAATACTATGATAGCACTTTATGCAAGAAACAGCCTGTCTAAGTTGCATCAACATTGACTGATCAAAAATTGAACATTATTTATCCTTTTATCCATTTTCACATTCTCTCATATATACAGATTGGCAGACGGACAAATCTAATAGTCCCTAAGACTTACCTTCATTACAACATTATTTGCATCGAGTAAACTGTCAGATATTTTCACATTGCCAACTTCTACCAGCTCCTGTAGTATCATACGGAACACACCAATCAATCTGAAAAACAGACACATTCCTCTCAACTTGTCTGTATAGTGAGCAAATTAATTAACAAGAAATGTCTTAACCAATTACAATAACACATTGTCCATTCAAACCAGCAGCCTTTATTTCTACAAAAAATACTCACCTTATATGGAAAACATCCAAGTATAAGATTGACCTAGGTGTTGGGCACCCTCTGACCCTGGTGAAGACGTCTGCCAAATGATTTATCAAACAATCAAGAAGTATAAAAGTTAGAAGCCAAAATGAAAAGTAGAAACAATTGATTTGTCAATTGACCTGCAAATGTAACTTTGTCCCTGAAGATATGGATGCTGGTCCTACATGTGATACATTTTCTGACACTGGTGAAGCCAAAAGCCAAATATTTTGAGAATTTACTAAGTTATGATAAAGAAATAAGTCTGGCACAATTTTGTGCACAAATACACAGAAACACATGCAAGTTAACAATATATGGCCCTTCACCCACTGACAACAATGCATCAATGAATAACAAAGAGAATTTGACCTTTGTACCTAAAGTGCAACCTTGACAATGATTGGGGGAGATGAATCTAACTAATGTAAGAAACATCAGGGCAATGGTGTAGACATTATGCCCTGTATTTCAACAATCCATCAAGTAATGACAAAGATATAAGCCATACAAAATTTGACCTTAAACCTCTGAGTTAAGCTTTGGCATTGTAGGTGCTGAAATGCATCTTGCACACAACACATTGTCAAAAAATTTAAAATAATCATATGTAGCAACTTGTTTTAAATCCTATCATGCATGTATATACTATAATTTATGGGCCTGACACAAACTCAAGCTGCACTTAAGACCATGATTATGACTAGTGCTAAGGTGTTGTGACCTTGGTCTCAGAGGCAGCCATCTTGTTTTACAGACCTGAGACCCATCTAAGGATTATTTTGGTTTAGTTTCATCAAAATTTACCAATTAGTTAAGGAGGAGATGTCGTTTAAATGTTTTTTATTTTAATTCTTGCGGCCATCTTGTTCAGCAGACAAGAACCATTTGAGCATTTTCTGGAAGGGACCATCCAAGGATCATTCCTGTGTAATTTCATCACTGTCGGTGTAGGGATTTCGGAGGAAAAGTTTAAATAAAAATGTAAATGATTTTTTTTTGAGAGACACCAGATTCAATCAAAATCCATTCAAGAGTAGGGTTTTGCAGTGACCTCCAATTATGCTTAGCTAAAAACAGATGTACCATTAATCATGAAGTGTGTGCTGCTTGATATAATTTTGTATTACATTACACCTCAAGCCTTCTATATATAAGCTTCTGTCTGGGGATGATATTTCAATTATGAAAGCTACAAATCAAATTGTAGAAAATACAGTAGCACAATTGAGTGGACTTATTTATATGGCTGGAGAAAGCCCCCTCTGATAGAGACGAGAATGAGAATGGCATATTACTGTTGTAAAAGGTTATTGCCGAGACAGTGATATTGCTTCATCATTAAAGTTATACATATGGAAATTGACAAGTATGCGAGGTGGTTGGGGACGAATATTATTTTTTTTTATAACAAATTTTTCTTAATTCAACTACATCTGTATAACTAGCACAAATGCCTCATCAGTCATTTTAAGGCTGCAAGTTGGAAGTTGCAATAGTAGCAACTGGGAATAAATTGCAATTTAGATTTAATAACTCTTTTAACAAATTTCTGAGATTTCAAAACCATCCTACAAAAGATAATTAAGCATATAATTTAATACAAAGACATTTTAAGGACTTTTTTTACAAATTAGAAATAATAGAACAAGTGGAAGTCTGCTAGAACTTTGGATAAATTTTTTATCACTTCACAACAAAAAATGGACTTGTAGACATCATCCACTCTTTACAAGGGAAGAAACAAGAGGACCAGGATAGTCCTTCATCCTTAAATTGAGGAGATATTGTTTAAACTTATTTTTTATAATTAGCCTTTTCGGCAGACTAAAACAATTTTTACAAATTTTGTATAGGACTGTCGAAGAACTATTTAAAACTGGCCAAGGCATTTTAGAGATGCTCTTTAAAGTTATATGCTGATGGCACATGATGAAAGTAAGTGATCCCAATAGTCCACTTTGATTATGGTGTGTTCAAGTGAGCTAAAAATTCTACCTAGTAAAAGTCAAACTAATATTTTTTCAGACTAAATCAAGTATCTCTAGGGTACATAGAAACAACAACTTTAACTAATTTCTTGACAAATACACTCTGCTTAAAGTCTACAGATGTATATTATTCATGGATGTTTACAGTAAGATGTTTTTCCCTTTATGGCACCAAAGAATTATCATTATTATGTTTGTGAAAGATATAGAGGATATTTGTTTGTTTGTGTGTAAGATGAAATTTTATTTCATCGAGTGAGCTTTAAAAACAGTATTCTCACGAGTGGCGTAGCCACGAGTGAGAATACTGTTTTTAAAGTTCACGAGATGAAATAAAATTACATCTTACACAACAAACAGACAAATTTTCTTTTTATTTTATGCTTAAAAACAAGTTAAAACGAAATTTCCATAATTTTAACGTTAATATTAAAATCTGTTTCCCCCATTGAGAGCCCCATTTAGACGGAATTTCTCATTTAAAACAAGAAGTCTTGAGCTGAAAAATAAGTCCGCCAATCAAGGTTAAATGACGGTGATATTTATTCATTTTATTAAAAAAATATGAATGATCGCTTGTTTTTATAATAAAAACAAACAATTCTTGCAGGAGAAAATTCCAACCATCCATCCATATTTCTGTTACTTACTGCGAATTTATATTAGACCTGGCTTTCTAAAATGTAAACGGCAGCCATTTTTTAAAGTTGTGTATTTCATGGGAGGAAAATAATTGTGTAAGATTCAGAAGGATATAATTTGGATTTGTTAGTCATACACCTTTTTAAAAGAAAGAAAACTTATTTGAGGATTGTAACAGACAAAAAATAAGTGTTGACAGAAGTGAAAACATTCAGAAAAGGAGCTAGGAAAATGGAAAACTTGGAAGCTTGCTGAAGGAACGCTGGGTTGTTTTACCTATTTTACGAGTGATGGCTGTCAATGCTTTTCAATTTTTCATAAAGCATACGGCAGTTATTGCTCGTAGGATACTTTAATATGCCCAAATGTCATCAAGAGCAGTTTTGCATGGGGAAGGAATGTATTTTTCAGACTGTAAAAACGAAACAAAAAAAATTTAGAGACGAAATTTGGTGATTGGAATTTGAAGGAATAGAAGTAAGTTTTTTGGTGATTTGAATTTGAAGGAATAGAAGTAAGTTTTTTTCTGTGTTACTTTTGACATTTAAGTTATTTATCTATTTCAGCTTAGCTATTTATTTTAACAGCCTGACATTGTCAGAATTGTCCGTAAAAATAAAATTGAGGTACCACATGGGGAAAATCTTAAAGAAGATGTTTCGTCATTGAAAAAAGTGAAATTATATTTTGATAATTTTCACTGTGAAATTATCAAATATAATTTTCACGGATAAATCAGTAATCCACTGAAAAGCATAAAATAACATGGAATTTTATTTATTCCTTACAGAACATATTTACCTGTCTACTAATTAAGGTGGACCTCTTATACACCAGCAGTATTTAACTTAAAGATTTGCATAGATATGGAGCTTTAAAATCTTGCTGCAAATTTTGTGGTAATACTTGCGTCTTCTTCTATTTTTTTTTTGACCACCTGGTACAATCTGGATGTTGTAGATATAGTGGCTGTTTTGTGGTTCTGTACAGTATGCTGTATTCCAAAGTAAGAGGGCAAGCAAAAAAAAAGAAGCAGAAAACACTTCTAGCTTTCTGATTCTGGAAACATGGACTTTCAGTTGCAAGTGACATGTCATCTTATTATTAATGTAAACATTTGTGCCAAGTAATTTCAAAATCGCTTGATTGATGAAAAAGGTATGGAGCAGACACAAAATATACCCTATAACAAAGCATGTTAAGCTTTGACCCCAAAGCGTTACCTTGGCCTTGAAGGTAAGGGTACAGGTGTTGTGCATGATAAGTTGCCCCATTATTGTAAAAAAATTTGTAAAGTAATTTCAAAATCCCTTGAACATTTAGTAATTTTAAAATCCCTTGAACAATGACAGAATGGACAGACAATGTTAAGCTTTGACCTTCAAGTGTAACCTTGACCTTTAAGGAACAGGCATAGGTGTTGCACATGACATATCATCCAATTATTAATCCTACCATGCTAAGCTTTGATCTCCAAGAGTGACCTTGACCTTGAAGGTAGGTGTCCAGGTGTTGTGCATTACTTTATTTAGTAAAATCCTTATGTAATGCCAACAAGCCGTGGAAAAGAAAAAATATGACTAACTATGGAAGGCCAAACCTGCCTTCTTACATTAGCTTTACAATAACAAAAACATCTGAATGAATGCCAGCTGAGCCTCCTTGATTTAATTAAGGAAATGATAAATAATTCAACAAAAGAAGGCGTAAAGATCATGGAGTTATATATAGAATGTTAACCTAATTTGTAGTAGACCATTTCTTCCTTGAATTATACAAATTGAATTTTCTCAACTCTTTCAATCTTTATTTCACTTAATTCCTGATTACAAACCAGAATTGCTTTCATCTTAATGGTGTATGACCAAATAATGGCATTTTAGAGCTGTTAAAGTACACACAACCTTATGATTATGGTTTCTGAGGATGGTGAAATACAGTAGATATATTCACCAAGGTTTTCTGACATTGTTGAGGAGTTGGAAACATTTTTTCGAGACTTTTGTACAATTTGATGTAGATCTGGAGCAATAATGTGTTTTCAAAAATTTAGGATCAGTCTGAAGTATGTCATTTTAATATTAATATTAAAAAGTTGGAAGAAAAAAAATATATTATACATTAAAAAAACATGAATAAACAATACTTTAAATACAGTATTTGTAAAACAAGTACTTAAAAATTACCTAAAAAGTTTACATTAATATGACATAAAGCACACAAGCATGGAAACAATGAGGTGACTGTGTCTATGAAAAGTTTCTTTAACTTACAGAATGTTCTTTCACAACATTGAAATTCATGATTCAATAGGTCTGAAGGACTTATCTATGACTTCCCGCTCACCTAACTGGCAACTGAGCAAGACTTCATAACATTGATCAATCTCAGTCTGCAACATTTTCAATAAACTCTGTTTAAAATTTTCATTTTTTCTATCTTATTATAATTTATGTAAACATATTTTTAAAAAAAATCAAATTTACCTATTGCTGAGGTACTTGTTATAGTTATACAGTTGTATGTCGATATATTCATCTTTCTCAATCGGCCGAGCCACCGGCCACTGGAAAGTTTCGTCAAACCAAATACACTCATCTGTTGTCTCGATGATCTTCGTGTAGTGGGATACCCCTGAAAATACATAGAGGATAAATAATCTTCGTGTAGTGTGATACCCCTGAAAATACATAGAGGATAAATAATCTTCGTGTAGTGTGATACCCCTGAAAATACATAGAGGATAAATAATCTTCGTGTAGTGAGATACCCCTGAAAATACATAGAGGATAAATAATATTCGTGTAGTGTGATCCCCTGAAGATACATAGAGGATAAATAATCTTTGTGTAGTGTGATGCCCCTGAAAATACATAGAGGATAAATAATCTTCGTGTAGTGTGATACCCCTGAAAATACATAGAGGATAAATAATCTTCGTGTAGTGTGATACCCCTGAAAATACATAGAGGATAAATAATCTTCGTGTAGTGTGATACCCCTGAAAATACATAGAGGATAAAAAGATCAAACACCAAATCTTTGTGTAGTGAGATACCCCTGAAAATACATAGGATTAAAATAATCTTCGTGTAGTGGGATACCCCTGAAAATACATAGAGGATAAATAATCTTCGTGTAGTGGGATACCCCTGAAAATACATAAAGGATAAATAATCTTCATGTAGTGGGATACCCCTGAAAATACATAGTCTAAATAGATCAAAAACCATCACAATTTATCAAAACATGATTCGCTTTAATAAGCTTCATCAGTTGATAAATAACAAAGGAAATGATGTAAACGTACCAAACAGACGTCAACATTAATAGACGCCACATTTGGCGTGTAAAAGGAACATTATGATATTATAATAAAATATGTTTTATACAATTAATTATGTACAGATGTACATATAGACGTAATTATTTTAAACACATATATAATTTTCAAAAAGATTTACATAAAATAACTGGATCAAAAGATACATTTTCACAGAGAAACTAGGCTAGTAATGTGAAAACAACAGTTACTTATGTGAAAGTTAATAATTTCCAAAAATACACAAATATGATTGCATCAATGTATTATACCGTCTGGAAAAGGCGTTAAATGATTGGAATGGTCTCTAGAGATTCATTATATCTATGTTTCCAAATATCATATGTCAAAAAACACCTTAAATACCGAAAATGTTATATTGCTACAAAAAAATATTAAACAGTAAAACTGTGGGCGATTTTTGTTAAATGTTAAAGAGAATCAAATTTATGTTTTGAAGGATACACTAACATAATAAACAAAAACAATATAATACAAGAAAATTCCTCATCTTAAAGTTCTTGCGTTAATTCAGGGCATTTTCACCCTATCATCAGTGACCGAAATAAGGCCTAATTCCCAATCCAAAATAGCCTCTTTCTTTTTTTCCCAATTTGAAAAACAAAATTCCCAACAGAAGCCCTGTAATTCATTGGATGGTTATAAATGTTGGGGAGCTTTGGCTTATAAATGCATTCAATCTGAAACAAACCAATCACATCACAGCCACAATCATCTTTTAAACAGACTTATTTATTATTAAACTCCAGATTTAAGAATATTTTGGTTTTCCCCAGCTAATCGTAGGTACCAACAAACTTTTACAGCCAATTTAAACAACTGGCTTATCTTTTGTGACAGGTAGTGCACCATAAAGCTATAAAGGTAAAAGTTTTTTTTAACTAGTGATTAGCTGGGGAAAACCCACATTTACGAAATTCCGGATAAGGTATATTAAATCACCAAGATTAACCCCTTCCAGCAAAACCTTACATATAACAGATATTAAATAATATGCCTCTATCACCTGCAATCCAAGGACAGCATTATTTATTTATGCAAAACATGAGAATTTATACAGTTTAAAAAAATTAATTTGCAGCAAATTTCAAATTACCTCTTTTAAAAAATGTCCTCTTTTAAAAGGACACCAAAATTAGCACTTCATCAGATAAATTGAAGTTATCTATTTCCAATCTGGATTGTTCTAGAAGAGCACACAGCTTCTTCCTCATTAAACGAATTTAAAATCAGCATGATTAAATCTTGAAACAATTAATTTAGAATGACGGCGCTAATGCATTTAAACACAGATTAAAAGGGGTGAGACTTTAATTTGCATTAACGAAATTTGCATTAATGAAATTTAATTGAGATATGTCATCACATTCACAGTTGAAATGACAAGCTTTAATAGGCATGTTAACTTTAATTCTTCAAGGGTAACTATTTCATTAGTTCACTGTTGCAATTGTTGCATTTTATAAATGCGCAAGTAAAATCAAATTATAAATTTTTTCATAGGTGTCTTTGCATATCACTCACAGTCCTTTCATTAAAGGCCCATTATGCCTCAGAAGTGCTATCAGTTCTATATCTCAAAAACATTTTTATTTTCAGTATCTTGTTAGTATCTTGTTACAGTTTCTAAAAAATACTCATTTGCCACATTGATGAACTATTTTTTCACTTCTTTTGCTCTGTTGGCAATTGGTAAAATTAGTGAATTTGTATTTTATAATATAAATATATAATATATTCAATATGGAATTAAAATTCTACTTTCTTTACATTTTGCTACCTTTACCACACATAATTAACATTTTAGCTCCTTTTTTCAATTGTTTAACATCTTACATGCTCTAAATATATAAATAAAACGTTATTCAATACATGTTTCACATTTCTAAAAAAATTAAAAATATAGATTTCTAAGGCATAATGTGCCTTTAAGGTACATTTCTGAATCTTTTCAGCCCCAAAGTTTTTCTCCTGCGAGCAATACTCTACATGGCCCAAATATGCTACCATACTAACATTTTCCATGCATAAATAGACTAAGAAAGACATAAAGCTAAATTGAGGTCATTATTTTCTATAACCCTCAATAAAGCATAAATATTATGTCATGCATAAATAAACTACAGACAAGATGTCTTTACATCCGAAAAAGTCAAACTATGCAAATATGAAAGGCAAAAATATGCAAATGTCATTCCTAACAAGGCATTACTATTTATTTTATGCAGACAATATTATCTTCTATGCAGACAATATTATCTATTTTATACAAATATTTGATCTTTTTTGCCCCTGGAAATCAATTAGTATTTTTACAGACATTTACAAAAAATTGAAGAAAATTTATGATTGTATACATTTTAAGAGAATGAGTTTCAGTTATTATACAATAAGCTACAATAATCAAATTTTATTTTGATTTCAAGTCAATACTTTGCTATGATCTATTTATAAAATATTTTCTTAATTATTTTTGGTATATTTTTTAAAAATTCATTTTTGACAATCTCTCATAACAGAATGTTCCACCTTGACAATATTTTTCACCTTTGTATGTTATATAGCATCAAGATTATTTATATCTTAGCCCTTGCCAAACTAAATATCTTGAATGGACTTGTCCATCTTTCAATCTGGACTCAACCATTCATCATATTTGGGGGAAAATTTCAAAATATGTACTAACTGAAAAACAAACATAGCAGATCATAATCAGACCGCAAGTATTTGAAACCCTTCTGAACTATATGCCAAAAAAAAAAGTAAATTCTTGTGAAAAGTGTAGAAGTTGTGGTCTTCATGAAAAGAAATCAATATGACCATGTTTAACAACAGAAATAACCTGACATCTGCAGTGGAAGTTCCATTAATACAGTCTTGCCCTCTTGAGATTATGTCCACAATCTTTATTGCTAAGTAAATCTTTATTTAATGTGATGTGCAAGAAATATTCATATTTTTATGACAAGGATTATCAATTTGGTTCAAATTTAAAGGGACTGCCCTGAGTTTTTTTTTTTACATGACTGGACTAGAAATTAATTTTCAAAATTAATATTCCATTTGATGTAGGTCTAGACCAGTAACCTGTGTACCAATTTTTAGATTATTTGCTCTCTCTCGGTTTTCCCCGAATTATTTTAGTTGTGACAAATGACCAAAAATATCACTAAAATAGTATAAAAATAACATTTTCAGCTTATTTCTGAGTATATTTCTTAATTATCTTTTGCATACTTTATTGTTTATAAGTGTCCAGCTGATCTATGTAAGAAATTCAAATTCTATGTTTTGGGCTTTTGGACCTCAGTTGAGTTCTTTTAAAGTAAGTCAGCCAAAAGATATGTAGGCTGGCTTGATTATATACTAGTGGCAAAGGCCAATCACTTTTGGTTCCAAAGCAAGCATTATTTTCAGAAAATTTAAAGGAACTCCACTGATGTACGAAATCCTAAGAACATAATTTTTGAATTTATTACAAAGATTAGCTTGGGCACTTAAAAACAGAAAGATATGCAAAAGATAATTACAAAATATACTAAGAAATAACTTGAAAATAATATGTTTGTGCTATTTTAAGCAAAGCATTGCAAAAAAAAAAATATCACACTGAACACATTTAAAATCATTAAGACTGTCAATTAGAATTATAAAAATTAATACAGATCGATCTTAAAAAGCTCTTTGAAATGAAGAAAAAATTATAAATTAAATTTCAATACAAATATGAAGTGAACCAATGCCATATGCCTGTAGATACTTTTGAATTTTCCTCAAATTGTTATAAAAGCTGTGGGTATTGTAAGATATGTAATTATTTCCTACGGCCAAAAAAAAGTCAATTCCAGCTATACGAAGATGTAATGACCATTCTGTAATAGCGTAACGGCTAAACATGGTCCTGAAGACAAGTAAATTATCTTATATTAAATTATGCGCTTTCATCAGGAGATTTAGAGAAATTTCTGAGAAAATAATGGTTATTAATCGGCAATATAGCAAGATAATTTTACCAAAATGCCGATTTTCTATGGGCTCATAGCTTTTAGTTGTTATGCAAAGTTCTCATTTTTCAATATGATTATGATTAGTTTATTACGATAAAAAAGATTTAAGAAAAACTTGTTATTTTGAGCTATTTTAGGCTGGATGATTGATTTTTTTTAAGGCCACACTGACACTATTAAGGTCACATGGAGACTTTCCAGCTATAATGGTAATGCCCAAATAAGTAAATGATGATAGTTTTCTATTGATATAAATGTATAGAATGATTCAAACATAGCTATTACATGTACATTCTTTTTCAAGAACCTGGTCATAACCAGATATTTTTTACTACCAAAATCCCCCAAATAAAATGAATGCTTACTGTATGTGTTATTTTCTGCTGGAATTATATACATATAGGAAGCAACAATTGAGTTAAAAATTTGTGTGTATATCTTTTGTTTTATAATCAATTGCTATCATCTTAGTAACTCTTACTTTCCTTTTTCTAAGTCTAAAAAACAGGGTGGGAATTTATTTAGGGAGGGGCATTTGAAAAGAATATACTGTACACAATATTATAACAATTTCTCCACAAAAAAGAAGTTTGTTTCCTTAATATTGTTGATCTTGAATATATGATAAAAGATGTTTCTGGAAAATCCAGTATGTAAACACATTTCCTTTTCTTAGCGCTTTCAGATGCTTCACAATTTATCTTACAACTTGTAATGAATGCAAAAATAAAAAGTATGTCCGCCACTTGTGACAAATATATTTTTTAAAAGCCTACTAATGAACACTCAGCTATACACAATTTCAAACCATTCCATATTATCAATATATATTTTGTGTTGAAAGAAAAAAATATATACTGGTTTAATTTTTTTTAAAAGCCATATTTGAATGGGATATTTCTTTTAAGCACCCTCATAACATTAAGAACTTTGAATTTCAATTATTCAGTTAATCTATCAATGACAGGTTTCGCGCTACAGAAGATTAATCGTTTTAAAAAGACCCGGAATTTTCAGAATGAGAACAATGATTCTATATTTAACGAAAATTTTACATTTACATGCATTAATATTTGTTTTCTTTCTTTTTGTTGGTTTTTTTGTCACACCAACACAGTATAGGTCATATGGTGACTTTCAAGCTTTACTGGTAAAGGAAAACCGCAGGTGCCCTTCCATGCATTATTTCAAGCACCCGTAGACCCACCAAGTTCTGTAAGCTAGCTGGATAGCTTTCTCATATGGAAGTATAAATTATATATAAGTGACTGCAAGTCTTTAAATTCTTTCCATCCAATTGGACAATAGTATGAAATGGAATACCTTAGAGAAATGTATCAGATATGCAATAATTGATAAGGTTGATTCAAGTTCTTTATTTGATGAGAGACATTGATACTTATTGAATTATAGAAATAGAGAGTGCCAAGTGGGAAGCAGAGGAATAATAGGTTCAATTATTTTCTAGAGAATATCAGTATTCCAACATTTATACAATATCTGTTATTACATCAAATGCTATCTTTCAAATAATTGGGGTTTTTTTTAATTCCCTTCATTGGCTATTCCAATTCTTTTCCTCCTTAGCTATGACAACAAGTTGTCTCAGGTGCCAATCCATCAAGCGAGCACCTGAGCATAACCATCAATGATCAGCAAGCCAGCTTGTTAACTTCCTGATATGACAGAATCCAAAGTTCCTGGTGAGATTCAAAAACAGAAGTGAGGGGCACTATGATACTTCAAAGTCAATGACCATAAATTTTGGGAATATCATTATAAAGCCAACACAATAGAGCCTGGTCAGACTGCATGGATGTGCCAGCTGGGCAACAGTCAATCTATAATGATAGGAAAGTCTCATCATGTTCTTTTTTATTAAGGTACTGGTTAAATTGAATCAAATCATTTAAATTTCAATCTCTAGTCATGCAATCAGTTACATCCCAATGTCATCCTTCTAGTTCATTTTTCAAATAAAATCATTATAAACAATTCCAAGAAAAAACACAATCCTTTGACAATGGGAACACAAGAACATGAATTTCTTTGTAAAGCTCAAATTACTAATTAAAGTAAATCTGACATTCTATGTATGCTTCAAGTTCTCTAAAAGCAAATTTCACAACCATAAAAGGAAAAAAAAATATTTTTCAAAATAAAAAAAGTAATATTCTATTTTTCACACTAAATTTAAAAAAGTTATAAAATCAAATTCAAATCACATGTAAAAATTTTTATTGCTGTATGTCTTTATGTATTAATTATTAATTGCAGGAGATGAGCTAGCCGGTGGGAAGCGCTCAAAAGAGAGAATAACGGTAGCATTGTGTGCTTCCATGTCTGGTGAAAAGCTTAAGCCTCTAGTGATAGGCAAGTCCGCCAAACCGAGATGTTTCAGCAGGATAAAACCAGAAAGACTCCCAGTTACATATAGAAACAATAAGAAGGCATGGATGACATCCGAGCTCATGATAGACTGGCTAAAATCGGTTGATCGTCAGATGAAAAGGTCAGGTCGTCACATTCTCATGTTCTTGGATAATGCTCCAGCTCATCCCAAGGTGACTTTAGACAATATCAAGTTAGTATTTCTTCCTGCTAATACTACGTCTGTTGCTCAGCCCATGGACCAAGGGATTATTCAAACCCTCAAACTGAAATACCGTAGTCGTCAGCTTAAATACATTCTAAGTCAAATGGAACATAGTGATAAAGTAGGTTCCACAATTCTTAGGGAGATATCAATTCTTGACGCAATCTACTGGATAAACGGGTCGTGGAAAGAAGTTGAAGCTTCTACTATTCAGAAGTGTTTCGCAAAATGTGGTTTCACTCAATTCAATCAAGTGTGCAGGTAGATAATATTGACTGTGATGAGATAAAAGTGATAATGATGATGATGATGATGAGGTGCCACTTGCAGTTCTAAGACTGAGCAATGAGTTGTTTGGATGTACATTTAGTGACTTAGTGGACATAGATAAAGCAGTTCCAACATTTGACTTAAACACTGTTAACTGGGATAGAAATGCACGGATATGATAAAAGAAATCAGAGACAGTAATAATGA